TTTCGCTATTGCTGCTCTCCAGTGCTGTCCCTGTTTGACTGAGTTGCCTTGAGAATTGGTGAGATTAAGGAGCGAGCCGTAAAATCCTTGTTAGTGGATGGAAAATATAAAACATTGCAAAATGATCGTTTTTCTCCCTCTTTTTTCCTCCCCCCCACCCTTTTCCCGATCAGTGCTGGCAGTGCTTTCTTTATTATAGTTCAAAATCTCATGAAAGAAGATAATAGAAATAAATAAATAAATAAATGAGCCAGAGAGCTGATTAAAATTTCCTATGAAATCAAATTTGTAAAACTTAAATCAGAATAAACAGTGTTTCTACCAGTGTTCAAGGCCAATCTGATTTTTAATGAGACTCCTCAGAGACTGAACTGGAATCTCATCAGGTCATGGAAATGTGATAGCACTCCGCAACACATCCTCCTCTGCCTGTCTGAGGGAAGGGGGGTAGATCTGGCTAAGAAATTTGTTTCAAAGGCTCTAAATCCCCTCCTTGAACTTCAAGATACTCCTAAACAATTCCCTTGTCCCACCGTTTCCAGCGCTGCACACCAGCCAAGCTTCACTGTCCCCGAGAGATCATGTCTTCCTGTTATAACACCATAATGATTTACAGTGTTTAACTGTTTTAGGGAGTTTTAGGATCAGAACCCAGGACCTTGGCCTTTAAAAAGACAGATCACCGCAGAATGAATCCCATGAGACATAAGGTCCTATTGTGCTAGGTGCTGTACAAATAAGTAACACAAAAAACAGAGCTCACAGGGTGTCTGGATGATCTGAAAATCAGAATAAAAGCTTTTCCCTTTTTTTGTAGACCTTTTAGCTCCTTAAGGGAGGGATGCATGTTAGGTCTGTGCACAGTGGCTAGTATTCACTTCGGATTTGGATTTGGCCGATTTGGGGGACAGTGATTTGATTCAGTGATTCGAATCACTATCCCGAATCAATTCGGCCGAATCTCTGAATCAGCCAGGCCCACCCCCCACCCACTCTCCCAGCCCAGCAATGGCCGGCCTGCCTGCCCCAGCTCCCAGCACTTGGGTGAAAAAAAATCCCAAGTTTCAGTGGGTGCTGCTGGATGGGAGGTGATCTCCACTGTCCTCCACTGCCCCACGCTGCATGGGGGCTCTGCACAAGCCCCCTGACCCCCCCCCCCCGGCCACCCCATGGCTGCTCCAGCCTTTTAAGAAAAATAAAACCCGAGAAAACCTCCTGGACTCATCATTCCTGCTGGCAGGGGGCAATCCCCGCTACGCCACACTGCCCTGCACCATGTGGAGGGCTCTGCATGAGCCCCCTGAAGCCCCGAGGCCGCTGCAGGAGTGCTGAGTCCTGGGGCTTTTCTCTGTTTTTTTTTCTTAAAGGGCCAGATCTGGGGCAGGTG